CTCTGCTGCTTTCCCAGGTGCATTAGCAGGATGCTGGATCAGAAATACAGCAGTTGGAACTCTAACTAGTGTTCCAGTATGTGATACCAGCATTGCAAGCACGGCTTAATCCACTGTGCCACAACGCTGGCCTCAATAACATTTTTTTTTTTTTTTTGACAGGCAGAGTTAGACAGTGAGAGAGAGACAAAGAGAAAGGTCTTCCTTCCATTGGTTCACCCCCCAGAGACAAAGAGAAAGGTCTTCCTTCCATTGGTTCACCCCCAAAATAGCCTTTACGGGCCGCCGCGCCGCACCAATTGAAGCCAGGAGCCAGGTGCTTCTCCTGGTCTCCCATGTGGGTGCAGAGCCCAAGCACTTGGGCCATCCTCCACTGCACTCCCGGGCCACAGCAGAGAGCTGGACTGGAAGAGGAACAAGCGGGACAGAATCCAGCGCCCCAACTGGGACTAGAACCCAGGGTGCCGAAGCCACAGGCGGAGGATTAGCCTAGTGAGCTGTGGCACCAGCCAATAACATCTTTCAATTGCATTTTCCATGGACTTTTTTTCTGGTACCCTTGTCCTATCCACTGTCTCCCTGCATCTACACCAGCACTCGGACTGTAAAAGTTCAATACGCGCTTGCTGGATGGATGACTGAAGGCAGCAAGAATCTGTGCAGCCTGGACAGAGGCTGTGGAGGCGGAAGGGCGGGGAGGAGGAGCTCCAGCCCTGGGGTAGGATGCAGCGGGGTGAGAACAGCCTCCCCTCCCCCGCCCCGCAGGCATGAAGTCTCCCCCCCCCCGAATTGTCCTGTTTCCTTCGTGTGCCTCCCACTGGGATGATCCCCTAGAGACAGGGACCACGTGTGTCCTGTTCACCATGGCACAGAGGCAGGTACCAGACCCTTATTTGTTGGAAAAGTACAAGCAAATCAAGCAACGCCAAAGAAGAACAGAACTGGCAGAAAGCCAGGTCGTGCCGTGCGGATGTGAAGAGCAGTATGGAGGACCTGTTAGTCCTCTTTGTGGGAAGATGGGCCTGGCAGGGGACATGGGCTGGGGGACAGCAGCAGCTGCTGCAGGCTTCTGGGTGAGGAGGGAGGAGGGGGGAGGGGGCAGTGTTTGGTGGCCAAGGAAGGCTCGGAAGAAAGCGAACACAGGAACACAGGAGTGCTTCTCTCGAGTCACTGGGAAGTGAGCTAACGCTGAGGGTCACTCCACAGGCCAGGCCCAGTTGAGCACTAATGGTTGGCTGCTGTTACCCTCCTGTTTCTAACCTGTCTGAAGTGGGGAAGCTGCGGGGTGGGCGTGGCGCGGGGAGAAGGGGAGTCAAACTATACCTGACCCTGAAGCCAAGTGTAACCAGGCAGCTCGGGGGACTGACGGCTGGACACTGAGTCTGCCTGCACAGGCGGCTGGAGACTGGGTGTTGGGGACCAGCTACAGCCGCATGGGTTGCAGGGAAGAACTGGTAAGGAAAACGGAGGCCAAGAGGTAGAAGGCAGCAAGGGGGGGGGCGGTGCCTCGGAAGCCAAACTATAACATGGTCACAAGTCAGAGGCAGAAACCCAGCTGGATCTGAGGGGCTGGGGCCTGGAGAAGAATCTGACTACCACCCTCGGGGACACGCTGGGAGAGCCCATGGTGCCAAGTCAGCAAGGATCAGTGTCAGCACAGGGCTTGCTGCACACCCCCGGAGCTCATTCATGGCACAGACTGCCAAGTGTTCCACAAACCCATTCGCTCTCTTTCCTGGTGGTGAAGCGCCCAAGTTTCACCTGGACCCAGGGTCACCCAGCTGAAGGCCAGCTTCCTCGCCTCCCTTGCTGCTCACCGGGGCCACGGGGCTGGGAAGGTGTAGCCCCTGGGTCTCACTCTTAGGGGAAGGGGTGGCTCTCCTTTATTTACACACACCTCCCAGCTCCCTCTTCCTCTTGGCTGCAACGTGGGCCCTAGACTCCTTGTCCCCTCATCTGCTACATCCAGGAGTGCAGGACAGCCAAGACTGGCAGCCGCAGCCTGCCCACTATCACTCTGGCCTCACCCAGTTCCTTCGCTAGCTCCATTTCTCCTCCCACCCACAGGCCACGAGCAGGTGGGTGAGGTGGGTGTGATCCAAGAGGCACAGGGGAGGGGCAAGAGGCCCGTGCCCACTGCAGATGCAGACCGCAAGGCCATCTGCTGTAGGACAAGAGCCGGCGAGGCGGCAGAGAGAAGGGAGCCCCGCACAGTGAGCAGGAACGTAAACTCAGACAGCCACGACAGCAAACGCCATGGCAGCCCTGCAACCCAGCAAGCCCTCTACTGGGGATGCTTCTCAACGAAAGGAAATCAGCTTATCAAAGAGATGTTTGCTGCAGCACTTATTCAGTTAACAAGACAGGGACTCAAGCCGTCGCCATAACGGCTGCACCGATAGGGAAAATGGAGTTACCCGTAATGGAGTATTATTCAGTCTTTTTATTTTTATCTTTTATTTTTATTTATTTGAAAGAGTTACAGAGAGAGGGAGGAAGAGAAAGAGAGAGTCTTCCATCTGCTGGTTCACTTCCCAGATGGCCACAACGGCCAGAGCTGAGCCGATCCGGAACCAGGAGCCAGGAGCCAGGAGCCAGGAGCCAGGAGCAAGGAGCCAGGAGCCAGGAGCCTCTTCTGGGTCTCCCACGTGGGCACAGGGGTCCAAGGACCTGGCCATCCTCCACTGCTTTCGAAAGCCACAGCAGAGAGCTGGATTGGAAGAGGAGCAGCCGGGACCAGAACTGGTGCCCACGTGGGATACTGGCGCCGCAGGCCGGGGCTTTAACCCACTGCACCACAGCGCCAGACCCTATTATTCAATCTTAAAGAACAAAATCTTGTCACTTGTGACAAAATCGTTGGACCTGACATTAAGTGAAATAAGCCAGACATGAAAAGATAAATGCCACATGATCTCACTCATATGTGGAAATTTTTGAAGTTATCTTATAGATAGCAAAACAGTGGTTACCAGACTGGTGGGGGTGGGGGGGTGGGGGGAGGTTAGTGGATGAGTACCACGTGACAGATAGCAGGCACACATTCTGTCCCTTCCTGCAGCAGGGTGACCATAGCTAATCACCTACATTCCAAAATGGCTAGAAGAGAGGTTTTTGAACACTTTCACCACAAACAGACGATAGTGATTACCCTGGCTTGATCATTACAGTGTGTGCTGATGCACCACGTCGCACACCACAAACATGCACAGCTATAATCTGTCAACTGAGAAACATCCTTAGGGCCGGTGCTGCGGTGTAGCAGGTTATGCCACCACCTGCAGTGCCAGCATCACATATGGGCACCGGTTCCAGTCCTGGCTGCTTGACTTCTGATCCAGCTCCCTGCTGATGTGCCTGCGAAAGCAGTGGAGGATGGCCCAAGTGGGAGACCTGGAAAAGCTTCTGGCTCCTGGCTTTGGCCTGGCCCAGCTCTGTAAGGTAAACCAGTGAATGGAAGCCCTCTCTCTTGGTAACTCTACCTTTCAAATAAATAAATCTTTAAAAAAAAAAAAAAAAAAAAAGGCCGGACCTCTAGGGGCAGGTGTTGCGGCAGAGCGTTGGGTTGCTACGTGCCCACACTCACTTCAGCGTGCCTGGGTAAGACCCTGCTCTGCTTCCCATGCAGCTCCTGGTAGTGCACATCCTGGAATGCAGAGGTGATGGCTCAGGGGCTCACATCCCTGCTACCCACATGCGAGACTGGGACTGAGTGACTGACCCCTGGCTTCAGCCTGGCCCAGCACTGGCTGTGGTGGGCGTTTGGGGAAGAGAACCAGTGGATGGGAAACTTCTCTCTGCCTTTCCATAAAGTGAGTACAATTTATAAAAAAGAACAGGGGAAAGCTCAGGTGTCTGGTCCGCTGGCTCCCCTGAAAACCCACCCATTTTCTAACTGTTCTCTCAGGGCAGCCCTACCGCTCCCTGTTTGTTCCCTCTTGGCCGGAAGTAGAGGAAAGGGGCCTGCGGGCTCCTCCAGGCCCAGACAGGAGCTGGGGCTGGTGACCAGCAGGCGGAAGGTCAGGGAAGGGGAATGGCTGGGCCCGGTCCATCGACGCCACAGGGGCTGCCATGCATTGACGCGTGAACTAAGTGTGATGTGGGACTCTCATCTTGATCCTGACTCAAAGAAGCAAACTGTCAAAAACATGCATCTTTGAGACAAATGGAAAAGTCCGACTGTGAACTGGGCATCAGGGGCTGTCAAGACATCACCGTTTGTTTCTGTAGAGAGTGAACGCAACATGGTGGATATGTATTTTTTAAAAAGCCTATTGACCCACAGAAATATCCCCAATTGAATTTTGGCCAAAGAATAAACATCATTCAGTGGAAGAAGTGTGGTTTTCTACAGTGTAGGAGCCACTGGATATTCAAAAGGTCAAAGAATGAACTTGCCCTAGGCCTCATGCTCACAGAAAACTGAGCTCCAAACAGATGAAGGACCAACGTGTCAAACAGAAATCAATACACCTGTCAGGAGAAGATCTCCAGGACTTGGGCTCAGTGAAGAGCGTTGGGTTTTGTTACTAGAAACATCCCACCTATGGAAAAAGCGAGCGAGTGGACTCCATCGACATGCTGCACAAGGCCCTGCGAGGAGGCTGCTAAGCAGCTTCGGAGTGCGAGGAAGCACCTGGGACCACAGAGCCGACAGGGCTCTGTGCGCAGGACAGGTCAGGAAATCTGACAGCTCATTAGAAAATGCACCAAAAAAAAAACCCAGAAATAGACATTTCCCCAAGACGACACACAGACAGTAAACAGAGTCTTCATGTGTCCGACATCGTTGGGAAAAGGCAAATTAAGGCCACAATGAGACGGCACTATGTACCCATCAGGATGACTAAAATAAATGACAATGGCGACGCCAGACAGGACGCAGAGACACAGGGCCACTCACACATGGCTCGTGAGGACAGAAGACGGTCCAGCTGATCTGGGTAAGTTTCGCTAGTTTCTTATCAAATGAAACACGCAGCTACCACAGGACCCAGCAATTACATGTTGAGGCATTTATTACAAAGAAAACTTAACGTTCACACAGAATCCAGTATATAAATATTCACAGTTTTATTCATAAGAGTCCCAAGCTGGGAACAGCCCAGGAGTCCCCCACGGTATGGACAATTAGGCAAAGTGTGTTACCCTGTGGTACATCCACAACACACACCACCACTCCTGGGAGACACAGGCAACAGCTGGGAGATATAGAGTGAAGTAAGCCAAGTAAAGTTAGACTTTGGTTCCACTTCTGCAACATTCTTCAAATAAAGTTATGGGGGGTAAAGAGAAGTAAGTAGTAGTTACCGGGGGTTACAGATGGGGATGGGGTGTGAGGCGGATACGGTGAGAGAGCATGACAGAGAACTGTGGTGGCACAACTATGTCTCGATACGGTGACAGAACTGCTGAGTACAGACACAGACGGCACAGACGAAACGGTCAAGTCTGAGTGAGCCCTGTGGCCTGCACCGCTGTCAAGGTCTCGGTTTTGATACTGCGGGAGCTGTGCAAGACGCTGCCACTGGGAGAACTGGTGGTGTGTATTTTCTTTCACAACAGCCTCTGAATGTGTAATTTCAAAATTAAAATTTGAAGAAAGATCCATCAGAGGTACACAGGGACATCCTCCAGGTCCAGTGACATTCTGTCTGGGATTTGCTTTAAAAACCAAAATATTCCAGGAAGAGAAAAAATGGGAGAAACAGTTGAAACAGAATTGATGGGACACTGCTAAGTATTAAAGCCGGGTGAGGGGTACGGATGGCTTCAGATAATCTCCTGTCTGACTTTGTGTTGGAAAATTTCTCAAACTGAAGTTTTACTAAGTTCCCAGGGGTACTTAAAATTACAGAAGGGCTATGCCTTCCTTTTCTGTCCATAGCCTTGTACAGGGCCATAACTTCCAAAGACAAATCACGTGTAAAGTTTACAGCACTGTTTATTTACAAAGTTTTTATTATAGGATTTTCATAAGTCACATTTTTAAACGGGCTGTTTACTACTGTTTCTGGCCAAGACCACCCCCAAAGTTATTAAAAAAATAGAAATTTATAAATATGCATCGAGACTTATGCAACTCGCATACAACAGCAGCAGTCGGGTCAATGCCTCACGTCGCCTGGCCACCTCCCGGTGCCTCCCTCCAGAATGGAATTACAGCAATTGTGGCAACCCTCTCCCGCCTCCCACTTAACCCTGCAGGTGCCTGGCTGGGATGGCAACGGCACAGGATGAACGGGGAACTGCAGAAACGACCCGGGCGACAGCTCCTGAGGGCAGTGAGGACAGCAAGCCGGATCCGCCACGCCTCCAATCTGGGACTGTGCTTCAACCCACTGCGCCCAGAACTGCTGAGCGGCAGACCAACCCCGAGGGGTCCACTGAGCCTGGCCTGACTGCTTTCAGCAGGGGTCTCCGGTCGCTGTGAACCTGGAAGCTCCTACGCGGTCCAGGGTTGGGAGATCCAGCTGTCTCGGTGGTGTCTCTTCTCCAGTTCCTCACGAGCAGGTCCTCCTTCCGGGAGGCAGGGCACAGTGCCCTAAGGACACGGGGCCTGCAGCCAGGTCTGCACAGTTTTTGGGAGTCCAGTGGGGGGTGTGAGAAGTTAACTAAGGACTGTAAGAGTCTGGCCCAGGGAACAACACGTCCTTCCCGTGTGAATCTCCAGGTGGCACTGGAGTTTCTCTTCCTTGGTTTGGTTTGAAGATCTTTTCCTTCTGAGATCTAAAGATACCTGCGCGCTCTATATCTTCTTTAAAAATCTGTTCTCTGGGGACAGGCATGCTGGCGCATCTGGTTAAGTCACAGCATCGGATGCTGCCATCACAGGGCCTAGTCCGAGTCCCAGTACCTCAGCACTTCCAATCTGGCTTCCTGCTAATGTACCTGGGAAGATAGCATATGACGGCCCAAGTCCTTGCCTTCCTGCCCTGCCACGTAGGAGACCAGGGTGGAGTTCTTGGCTCCTGGCTTTGGCTTGGCCCAGCCCTGACTGCTGTGGGCATTTGGGAAGTGAACCAGTGGATGGTATCTCTCTGTGTGTGTCCTTGTCATTCTGCCATTCAAATAAATAAGGTTTTTTGCTTTGTTTTTTTAAGGTTTACTGATTTGAAAGGCAGAGTTACAATGAAATCTTCCATCCACTGGTTCATTCCCCAAATAGCTGTACCAACAGCTGGGACTGGGCCAGGCCAAAGCCAGGAGCCGGGAACTCTACTGGAGTCTCCCATGGGGTGGCAGGTGCCCAAATACTTGGGCCATCTTCTGCTGCTTTTCTGCTGCATTAGCACGAAGCTGGATTAGAAGCGGAGCAGCTGAGACACGAACCAGCGCACACATGGGATGCCAGCATTGCAGGTGTCAGCTTAACTTGCTGTGACATGACGCAGGTCCAGTCTTAAAAAAAAAAAAGTTTCTGGCTCGCAAAGTTCACTAAGAATGCAATCTTGTCCCCAGGAGGTGATGAGACCGAACAGACTGAGACCTGGAGACCACCTGGGCTGGGCCGGCAGGCTCCTGTCCGCCCACTTCTGCTGGCAGTAGGAACACGGCTTCGGGCAGAGCAGCTGCTTTCTCGGCTTCCAGAACACAAGGGCCAGGTCCAGCCCTCAGTCCCACCCCCACCCTGCCTGCCCCTTTCCTGTGTGACTCGATGGCTGTACTACAAGTCGCAGCTCAGACACAGACTAGGCTTCTGTCAGGCAAACCTCTTTTCCCAAGCGGGGGGCAGGCGGCAGGTCCTAAGCACACCTTCCGTGGAGGGAGAGCCAGTGATGAGTCTCTCGGGAGCGACGTGCAGCCGCAGTGCTGCCCCCCGTGCCACCTTGCTCCACGTTCACCTGTCTGCTCATGGCTTCCGACTCCTGCCTGCCTCCGGTCAAAGCCGTGCCGCGTGCGCTGCCCATTTCCAACACGATCAAGGGCTGCAGAGTCACTTCCCATCGGTGCACGAGGGTACCCGGGGCCCAGCTGAGGCGAGAACTCAACAAGATTCCGGGATGATCAACCATTGTCCCAGGTGTGATTCAACAGTAGGGATACAGGCCTCCTGGCAGGACACAAGGCAGCAACGTGTGCCCTTCTCCCTGTCGCCTTCCCTGGGCTTGCAAAGGAATTGAGTCCCACGGTCACAAGCGAAGTCCCTGGCTGAGGCTGCAGGCAGGAGGCTGCTGCGTGGCCAGCTGACTGAGAGGCCTCAGGACTGCGTCGGTGTTTTCTCACCCAAACCTCCCAGGTTGCCGTCACACCCATGCCCATCACAGCCTCGGCCATGAGGGTGGCGTCCCCATCCCTGTCCAAGCCAGGCTTCCTTCTCAGCTCACGAGAGGGACCTAGAAAGAAGAATAACCATGGAGCCTGCCTGGTGGGTGCCCCCCTCCCGACCTGCTCTCCTCCTAGGGGAGGCTGGGGCCCGGGTGCGAGGGTGGCCCGCAGGCTACGGACACGCAACCGCTCAGGAACAAGAGGCACACAGGGGAGCTGAGCGGGGAGAGGGCGGGGGAGGTTTCCTCTCAGCACAGAGCTGCTCCCAAGGTGAGCTCTCTCCCGCCGAGAGCAGAAAGGCCGCCCTGGGCGAGCAGAGCAGCCTGTCCTGCCCCGGCTCTGACTCACTTCTTCCTGCGGATCTTGGGCTTCTTCACAGGGCGCAGGTAGGGGTTGTCGATGACATTCTCCTCCCCGTTCCGGCTGCCCGGCAAGGAGGGGGCCTGCTGCAGCACAGACGCGTTTTCCTTCTCAGCTCCAGAATCATCCTTTGAGCAAAAGCCGAAATAAAGCAGAACACCAGCGGCATGAGGAAAGAGACTCTGCCCGCCACAGGAACTGACCCTTTCACTGAGCGACCCCAAGCCTGGACGCTGCCTTCCGTCCATGGTTCCCACCTCTGCCGCAGGCGAGACACGGCCCAGGCAGGCACTGGCCCGGAGGGGAAAGCGAGACTGGAGCACGCGACATGGTCTCGACCCTCTTGAGAAGTCAGGGACGTGAGTTAGGAAGGATGGAGATCTGGGAGAGGCAAGCAGTTGGGGCTACGATTCAGTTGCTCCAGGGACGAAGCCCAACCCGTGGGGAGATAAACAGAGAGGAAGGTGACCTTGGATGCCGGAGCGATCGCCTGCACAGCCGACTCCTAGCCCAGAGCTAACTGAAGTCACAACAGGTTTCCCCTGACATCTCCGAGTCTCCGGTGCTTGCAACGTGGTAGCAGCCGGAATATCCCAGCAAAGGCCAGAAACTTCTCGAGCCCCAAGACTTTCCAGCTACCAACATACCACATCATCTGTATCTGTGACCTGTTAGGTTTTTTAGTCCAGTTTGTTGCAGGAAAGGTGATTTTGGAGAAAAGTTTATAAATTCATGTATATTCAAGTATGATCCCAATTAAACTTTTCAAAATCACAAATGTCTACTGACAGAAAAAAGGCAACACGCTGAAATTTTAAACTGCCCTGGGAGGGTGACACCGTTTCTCCTTTCCTTATTTATACTCCCCTGTTTCCCAAGTTCTTTAAAATGAGCAGAGGCTGCGGGGTGGGGTCGGGGGGGCGGGGCATTGGGGTGGGTGTCAACTGTTGATCTGGCTCAGAAGCTGCTGGGCTGCGCCCCCTGGTGGCCACATCGAGGAAGACGACATTGAGAGGATTGCTGGGCAGACCAGAGGGGCCCTCACCAACCTCAACCAGGACAGGCTGTTGTGAAAGCCGACGGCAGAGGAGAGTACGCCTTGGTCAGATGGCACAAAACAAACAGCCTTCCCCCGCAAGGGCCAGCTGGCCCAGGGTGTGGGCTTCCAGGTCCCACCAAGTCTGTTCTCCCCAAAGACCCATGTGCACATCCTCTCCAACACCCAATCAAGGGGGACCCACAGGGTGATCTAGAGCCACTCGGGACCCTCTGGAGACCCTCTGGAAAGGGAGTGCCCCAAGGCCAAGCTAGCTCATGCCAGACCAGGTGCAGACACACACTTCCTGTGCCAGGCCTGCCTTGGGTATCTGGCTTCAACCTTCTGGAGTCCGATACAGGAGCCTCAAGTGCTTTTGGAGATCACACAGGCTGGGATGACTCAGTGAGTGCTGTTGAAAAGCCAGCCCAGGGCCACTGCTGGTGGGTCCTGGGGCTCTCTGTTCGCCTCACGGCTTCTCCCAAGAGCAGGGTGCCTGGACTTCTTCTCCCAAGTAGAGCTTGTGAGTGCCGTTGTGAACTCGCGGTGGTGCCTGTTCATTTCTATTCTCGGACACCTCCTATCCTGGCCTTCCTCTCAAAATCCAGGCAGACCTGACCACTGCAGCCACCCTGCTAGGACCCACTGTCGGCCTCACTGGATTAGGGCTCCCTCCCTCTGCAGTTCATTCTCATCACACAGAGTCTCTTTAATGAGTGCTGGTGGTGGGGGACCTGCAATGCAGCAGCTTAAGCTGGGGCTTGCGATGCTGCATCCTGTATTACAGTGCCTGGGAGGGAGTCCTGCCTACATTTCCAACCCAGCTCCCTGCTAACACGCACCCCAGGAGATGGCAGTGACGGCTAAGTAGCTGGGTTTCTGCTCCCCATGTGGGAAACCTGGATGAAGGTCCTGGCTCCTGGCTTTAGCCTGGCCCATCCCTGGCTGTGCCAAACATTTGGGGAGTGATCCAGAAAATGTAAGCTCTCTCTCTCTCTGCCTTTCCAATAAATGAGAACGAACTTCAAAATTTTAGAATGTCCCTCCTCACCTGGTGAAAAGCAACTGAGAGGCCCTGCTTGACCCGACCCCTCCCTGCCTCCTGCCACAGCCACCTGCGTTCCTCAGGGCCTGTGCACGGCCTGTCCCTCTGCCCCGCACCTCTGCCTTCCTTACCCCCGCCTCCTCCCCCCTCCTTACCCCCGCTGCTCAGAGCACACCTCTCAGCAGCACCTCCCCCAGGGGGGGAACCCTGACACCCCCGTCCTCACCCTGGATCCTCCAGGACTGCTTCTGTTGCTCCCCACAGCACTTTCCTCTTTGATGCATGGCATAATGATTTGTTTACTTCCTGCCATTCTCCTGAGGTTTTCTCCCAAGCAGCCAGGATGGCAGGTACACAGAGGAGGTGCTAAACGAATACCTTGAGTGAATGCTGGGCTGAGTTTTCATAAAAGAGTAAAAGCCGAGACATCTGGATGGCCTGCGGAAGGCAGCTCATTCAAATGTGGGATTTATGAAAATACAAATCTACTTTACCCTATTTAATGGACAGTTCCTTAACGTTCAAGCACACAGAGATAAACAAAGTACTACCCAGCAACAGTGCTTGAGATACACAGTCCCCAGTATGGAATGATTTAAAATCGCACTGACTGCGCTGCAGCAGTGTCCCTGAACGCAGGGCGGAGTGCACCTGCCGCACCCATACCACAGCACACCACGGAGCTGTACGGGCCGGAGAGGCTCTCCACACACAAACGTGAGAAGAACGTGGAGACAGAGGTGAGGGGAAGCGAGACTGGTTGGTGAGCTGCCGTCTGCGTCCGCGGCAATGACACAGACAGTGTCTCTGGAAACACATGGGGAGATGCCTGCTCTGCAGGAGGCCGAGTGGACAGCAGAGAACACAGTGGGAGGAGAACTGCCACCACGTGCCCTTTTGCACATTCTGAATTCTGAAATGCATTTCCCGGTCCAACAAAATGTTATCAAGTCCAACCGCCCATATACACACTGTTGCTGGAATCTGTTTTGAAGTCTTTTGGTTTCTACAGGAGGGCACGTGGTTGCAGAGCCCAGAACAGCAGGGGAGAGAGGAACACATGCCTTGAGCTGCCAGGTGCCGGGCACAGATGCGCACCAGCTCGCGGGCACTCAGCTCCCCATTTTCACTGAGGGAGGTGTTCCTATTCCTGCTGCTTCGTGTGAAGAGGCCGACCCAGATGTTGGGGAATCAAAGCCACGTATCAGGAAGGTGGTCCATCCTGGATTTGCGGCTGAGAGGGGCACACCTTTCTGCATTGTGCTGGGGACGAGGCTCGGCCTCCATGTATCCGGGAGTCCTTGGGCAGTAGCGTTCACGACCACCGCCATGCCATCACTCGTTACCACGTGGAATCCTAGGTGACGCACGTGCAGGCCCTTTAACTACACCACATGTACAGAGGCAGGCTACTGTTGGCTGAGAAGCCTCTGCTCATTAGGTGAACCTGACTTAGCTCAAGACCCGATCACCATTAACTCAGCCCAAATTAACTGAGCCCAAACAGAAGTGTAGAGTAACAAGCTCCTCTGCTTCCTGTCCAGTCACGGGCTGTGGGCCCTAATTCTGGAAGGAGCAATTCAACAGCACAGAGAGCTTCAGCAAGTAACAGCGCACGGGCCCTCTCCCCTTGCCCTGAGCTGCTGGCTGCCACGTGGTGCATAGTGTCCTGGGACACTCGGTCAGCTTGCAGCCACCAAGCACCGAGGCCACTGCTGATTTCCAAGGACGGCTGAATGCAGACGCCTGACCGCAGGACCCTGAAAGCTGAGCAGCATTAGCGTTTCCTACAGATGTGGGATTCTCCTGGCACTCTCTCTCGAGATGCAGGAGCAATGGCAGGGCCTCGTCCTTGTATCGACGTCCACAACCAGGACGTAACACCCACGCCCCCTCACCCAGTGTGGCCCTATCTCCTCTCTAGTGTGGAATGTCTGAGCTGGCTCTGTGGCGTAGCAGGTTGAGCTGCTGCTTGCAGCGCTGGCATCCCATGAGCACCAGCTCGAGCCCTGGCTGCTGCACTGCTGATCCAGCTCCCTGCTATGGCCTGGGAAAGCAGAGGAAGATGGCCCAGTGCTTGGGCCCCTGTACCCATGTGGGAAACCCGGATGAAGCTCCTGATCAGCCCAGCTCCAGCTGTTGTAGCCATTTGGGGAGTCAACCAATGGATGATCTCTCTCTGCTTCTCCCTCTCTCAGTAACTGCCTTTCAAAAGAATAACAACTTAAATAAAAGCAATGCGTGTGAGAAGGCCAGGCCAGCCCCTCCACTCGGGCACTAGGCCCCCTCCTCTCACGCCCTCCCCCACCCTGTATTCCGTGCGTCCGTCCTCTCTTCACCGTCTTCCCTCTTTACCTCAGCACACTGTAATGCTGGATCCACCTTAAAGAAGGAACGCAAAACCCACAAAAGACCTCTCTTAAGCCCTGATTTGCCTCCATCAGTGTCCCCACCCCTTTCCTCCCCTTCCTTTTACAGCAACAGGCATCTTCACAAGGGCTGTCTGACAGAACTCGGGGACAACGGATGCTCGCTCCCTACACCGTCCTGTACCGTGGCTGCCGGCCACACGTGGCTGTGGGCACTGGAAATGTGGCTAGGGAGACTAGGGAACAGCTTTTCAGATCTATTCAATTTTAATTCAAACGTAAAGAGCCACATGTGACTGGCGGCTACTGCAGTGGACAGGACAAGTCTACACTCACCAACTCCAACCTCCTTCTACCCTCTTTGAATTCAGTGCAGGCCCTTGCTCTCATTCTCACTGGAACGGCTCTTAGCAAAAAGTCTAATGGTCGCATTCTCTACCCTCCTCCTGCTGCAACCAACCCCAGCTTTCTACACAGCTGATGGCTCTGCTCACCCGCCTCCATATTCTCTTCTCTCGGCCTCCAGGGCCCCACCCTCTCCTGGTCCTCCTCCATCTCCCTGGCTACTCCCTCCTCAGCTCTGAACCCGGAGAGGGCCAGGGCCATCAGTGCACCTCTTCTCTCACCCTCACTCCCCCTAGGAGAGTTCATCTACGCCCATGGTTTTCAATACCATCTATAGGCAAGCTGGCATCGCCAACCCCAGTGCTTGGCAAATTCCAGAGTGAGGCCCAACTCTCCATCTGCTCTCTCTCTCTCTCTTACACACACACACACTTTATTAGCTGGTTCTCCTGGGAAAAGAATCAGAGCAAATAATCTATGTGACCATGTCTCATTATCTGCCTTCCTCCCACTGCCTCCCAGCCAGGGGTCCCCTGCCTCTGCCTTGCCCCTCTAGCCAGTCCTCTACATGGCAACCTGATGGGTCCCACTGCCAACACACTTGCATCCAACCCTGACCCTCCTTGGCGTGACCACTCCAGTGGCCCCCATCTCCCTGAGTAGATGCCAAGTGCTTCATGTAACCTCCAAGACACGTACGTCTGACGTTCGTGAGCCAACTTCACCCCTTTTCTTCTCCTTGTTCACCCCATTCTGGCCACCTAAATGTCCTTGCTGTTCTTCAACACAACAAGCAACCTCCCACCTCAGGGCCTTTGCTGTTCCCGATGCAGGCAGTGAGCCCTGTACTCAAATGTCATCTCCTGGAACACTCTCATACCACATCCCCCCCATCACCATCCCCACTCCCCATCTCCTATTTTTCTTTAGTTCCACAAGGGCAGGGAATTTTGTCTGTTTTGCTTCCTACTACTTCCGCAAGCACCAGGGACTACGGCAGGCCTTGGCAGGTGCTCATTCAGTTTCTGCGGAATGAATGACTCCCCAGGACACAGCTGAAACTCCCCAGAAGTGTCAGGGGCACACCATGCAAGCACTAACACAGAGTGCTGGGGCAGGCCATGTCCAACTCCCAGGGTGACAGGCGGAGGGTGGGATGGGCCATTCTCGGAGCTACGCTGAAGCAGGCAGAGGCCAAGACCCACCGTGCTGATGTGAAGCGCCAGGTTCTCGGTGTCCGTCTGCTCATCCTGTTCCGAGGAATCCGTCTCTTCCATTTGCTGCATCTCCAGCTCCGACGGCAGAAGAGCGGTCAGGTAGGGGATGGTGAAAGGTCTGGCGGCAATCACTGTGGGGGTGGGAGACAGGAACGACTCCGTGGTCAAGGGGGCCCTGCAGCTGGCCTGGAGCCTTACGACACGCTGGTGCGAGGCACCGAGACAACTGCTGCACTCCAAGCACCTACACAACCTGCCCGGCAGTGTCCTCACGCCCACCCTATGGAGCGCATTGACCACTCCCGGTTTACAGATGGGAACGTGAGGCGCAGAGAGGCTATGCGACTTTCTCAGCACACAGAAAATGGCAACGTGAGATTCGAACTCAAACAGTGTGACTTCACCGCCCACCTGGAGCAAGCACAACTGAAGCCAGACAGAACCGGGACTTTAGCTAGGATCCTGGCAACGTGCTGGATCCAAGCTAAAGTGACCTGGTATCCAAGGTCCGCTGACCCCTCCAAGCACTGTCCCAGAACAGGCAGGGAGATTAACCCTTTCAGCAGGAAGGACCCAGGTCCCAAGGCTGGACTTGGGAACTCTCTGCACGGGAGCACCCCCACTGAGCTACGATGCTCCTAGTATACCAGGGTTCCAGTTCCCCCAAAAGCAATGAGTGAGGATGAGAGGAAGAAATCCATTAAAGATCATTAGGAAGTGGGTGTTTAGCCTAGTGGTTAAGACACCCATGTCCTATGCTGGAGTGCTTGGGTTTGACTCCTGGCTCTGGCTCCCGACTCCAGCTTCCTGCAATGCAGACCTGGGAGGCAGCCGCGATGGCTCAAGTATTTGGGTTCCTGCCACCACGTGGGAAACCTGGATCGTGTTCCCAGTTCCCGGCTCTGGCCCCAGCCTGGGCCCAGCCTTCACGGGCATTTGGGGAGTGAACTCATAGATGGGAGCTCTCTCTGCCTTTCAAACAAAACTTGACTGTCGGGAGATGTATTACTGTGTTGAAGGAACCGCTGAGCTATAGCCAGCCCAGGAGATATGTTAAAAAATTATTTTTATCCATATCATGTCTAGCAGTCAGACAGGGCTGGGTTTGAATGCTGCTCACTAGGCCTGTGACCTTCAGCAAACTGCTTCATGTCTCTTCTCTATGAGCCTTGGCTTCCTCTACAGGTGGTGATGAGATCATCCCTAACTCACGGGCTCACACGTGATTAAACAAGATGACGTGTGGGAAATGATTAGGACAGTGCCTGGCATTTAATAGCCATCAGCTGCTATCAGTCCAGAGTGGACACACAGCAGGCATCCAAAAGAAGCTGAAAGAGTCAGTCATCTAGACCACTATTCTCCCATTCACCTTTGCAAAAACTGGGCCTGTGGAGAGGAAGTAAGCTGGTCAACACAGAGCTAAGGGAGGCAGGGCCTGTGAGAGGACACCTGGGCTGTCACTTCTGTGCGAGCCTGACTCCCCTCGGGGCCACCTGAACTTGGTGCACCTCGGGGGCCGATCCCAATAGAAGCCATCACTGTTCTGGAGTCATCCGCGAGGGAAGGGGAGGCGGAACCCTGTGGGAAACCTCCAGCTATGGGAAGGAAGGGAGGGGGACACGGTGAGCCTGAACGCTAACACAGGTCCGCAGAGGGACGGCTCTCACGTGGGAACGTGCTGACGTCATCTTTGAAAAGGCTCTGGGTCTCGCCTGTCTTGGCCATGAACCGGGTGAGCGCCCGCTCCACGTCGCGCCTCTGCGATGCAGCCTTCTCCCGCAGCACCTGGTAGTCTGACACAGGCTCCCGGTAGGTCTACGGAGAGAAGAGCGGAGACACCGGGGTCATGCCAACGGACTGTTCTGCTCAGCGCAGGCCCCTGCCTTGCTGTGCCGTGTCCTTCCACCCTCTACAATGATCCACTGCCAGCAGTCAGAGCAGAAAGCTACCAGGCCAGAGGAAGGGCAGAAAGACAACTATGTACTTACACTAATATTTCTTTTTTTTTTTTTTTTTAGATTTATTTGAGAGGCAGAGTTACAGCAGAGATCTTCCATATACTGGTTCACTCCCCAAAGATTGGCTGCAACAGCCAGAACTGGGCTGATCTGAGGCAAGAAGCCAGGATCTTCTTCTGGGTCTCCCACGTGGGAGGCAGGGGGCCAAGCACCTGGGCCATCTCCATTGTTTTTCCAGGCCATAAGCAGGGAACTGCATCAGAAGTGGAGCAGCCAGGATTCGAACTGGTGCCCATATGGGATGCCAGCATCCCAGGTGAAGGCTTAACCTACTACACCACAGCGCCAGCCCCTATATTTCTTCTTAAAAGTAAGAAACATGGGGCCAGTGCTGTGGCATAGTGGGTAAAGCTGCCACTAGTGGTGCCGGCATTCCATATGGGTGCCAGTTTGAGTACTAGCTACTCTACTTCCCATCCGGCTCCCTGCTAATGGTCTGAGAAAGCAATGGAAGATGGCCCAGGTGCTTGGGCCCCTGCCACCCACTTAGGAGAACTGGAAGAAGCTCCTGGCCTCCCTCGCTATTGTACCCATTTGGGGAGCGAACCAGCAGATGGAAGATCTGTCTCTCCCTCTCTCTCTCTGTAACTTGGAAGGAAGGAAGAGAGGGTGGGAGGGAGGGAGGAAGGAAGAGAGAGAAAGAAAAAATAGGTATTAAGTTAAATAGGAAAGAAAAGTTCTGATGTTCTACTGTGCAGTAGGTGCCTACAAATAATGTGTGTGTCTTTAAAGCTAGAAGACAGATTTTACAAACTAAAATTAAAATTAAAAAATAAAATTAAGAAACGTGCAAACATTTACTGTAGAGACTGACCAGGGGCTCTACTCAGCATCCCTGGCAGCTGGCCCAGGGGTGAGATGCAACCTGAAAGGTGGGCATCCTCCCAGGGAAGCCCCAACAGGGACCACTGGTTCTATCAGTGTAATGGGACGTCCCTTAATCTGTGGGCTTTTTGTTTTTTTTTTTAAAGATTTATTTATTTTAAAGACAGTGACAGAGAATGGGGAAGAGACAGAGCAAGAGATCTTCCATCACTCCTCAAATGCCCACTAAAGCTGGGGCTGGGCCAGGCCAAATCCAGAAGCCCGGAACTCCAGCTGGGTGTGGGAGATGAGCCATCCTCTGCTGCCTTCCCAGATGCATTAGCGGGAAGCTGGACTGCAAGTGCAGTGGCCAAGACACGAGCCAGACACTGCAATGTGGGATATGGGAGTCTGAAGCTTTGGCTTAGCCGGCTGTACCATAATGCCTACCACACTGTGGATTTGCAGACTGTATCAACTTGTTTCTTTTTTAGTAATTTATTTATTTATTTGACAGAGTTAGAGAGGTGTCTTCCATCCACTGGTTACTCCCCAGATGGTCGCAATGGCTGGAGCTGGGCTGATCTGAAGCCAGGAGCCAGGAGCTTCTTCCCAGTCTCCCACGTGGGTGCAGGGGCACAAGGACTTAGGTCATCCTCTACTGCTTTTCCGGGCGCACCAGCAGGGAGCTGGATTGGAAGCAGAGCAGCTGGGACTCAAACCCGCAACAAGATTGGATGCCAGCAGCGCAGGTGGAGGCCCAACCTACTATGCCACAGCGCTGGCCCACCCACCGACCTGTTTTCTTAAATCAACTCTCACAGAATGGATACGCTGTTCCAAAAGATTTCCTCAAAAACAGAGACTGAAGAAATTATTAAGTGCAAGCGACTAAGAGGCCGCCATCCCTGCTCCTGATTTTGACAATGGCAGTGAACTTGCTACGGAGTGAAAACAGGTAGGATCTACACACGGGGTGGGTGTCGGTTAAGACACCCATCAGAGAGCCTGGATTTGCTTCTCATCTCTGCCTTGATTCCAGCTGCCTGTTGATGCGGATGCGAGGAGGCGGCAGTGACGGCTCCAGCAGCGGGGCTCCTAACACCCACATGGAGGACCTAGACTGAGTTCCTGGCTCTCGGCTTCAGCCTGACCCAGCTCTGGCCATTGCAGGCTTTGAGGGAGTGAATCTGCAGATGGGAGCTCGCTCTCTCTCAAACAAAAATCAAATAAACAAAGCTTATTTGTTTTAAAGCTATTCATTGGCGATTAGCCAAACATTTATATTGTAATGGCAAAGATAACATTCTAACAATGACCAAAAGAGTAACTACTATTCTTGACATAAAGACAAGGTTTTAAAAGAAGTACTTGGAAAAATTTCTACCATTGTTACTGTCCCTTCTGGTGTGTCATCAATACAGCTTCCTTATTTAAACATAGAAATTGGGGCCAGCCCTGTGGCACAGCAGGTAAAGCCTCCACCTGTAGCACCGGAATCCCTTGTGGGCATTGGTTGGAGTCTCGGCTGCTCCACTTCTAAACTAGCTCTCTTCTGTGGCCTGGGAAAGCAGTGGAAGATGGCCCAAGTCCTTGGGCCCCTGCACCCACAAAGGATACCCAGAAGAAGCTCCTGGCTCCTGACTTTGGATCAGCCCAGCTCTGGCCGTTGCAGTCATTTGGGGAATAAACCAGAGGATAGAAGACCTCTCTCTCTCTGCCTCTGCCTCTCTGTAACTCTGCTTTTCAAATAAATAAATCTTACAAAAAAAAAAATAGGAAAGCACACACAAAACTACCAGTTACCTAACGCTGCACCAAGAATTAGCATAGACATTTGGGGGACCCCTTCCAGTCTTGTTTCCACCTAGCTCAGCACTACGGTGGTCCGGTGGGACAGGCAATATTGGGGCTGGCTTCAGTTTCCTCAACTACACTTTTGCTGACAAATTTGTAAAATAATCGTCATCTGCCAAGCTGTTTCTCAATGGGGAAAAACGTCCCAATCTCTGAGCACCTCTCTGGTCCACAGCTTGTGGGACTCCAGCCCAGCTGTGAGCCGGAACCTGGGACTTACAGCAGTCACAGCCACTAGTGGGGCTTCATCACTCACCGGGGTTTTGATGTAGGTGTGGGGATCGGGGAACTCCGGAAAGTGGCTGGGGATGTGCGGTGGGTGGGGTCGGTTCTGCCCTGCGGTGAGGGCCTTGGGGGTCACTGGCTGATTGGTCACTGGAGCTGCAACAGAGTCACAACCGGTTACACCCGTGCCCAGGGCCCTGGTTTGGTCTCTGCCCAAACCCGTCTTTTCTCCAAGTAAATGCCCACTGCCGCCTTCTAAAAGTCAGGTACGTTATCATTCCATCATTAACAGGCCTTCAGGGGCTTGAGAACCTATGAAGGCCACCCCTGCGAAGCCCAGTCCTGCTGGATGACCTTGGCTGATGGTCACACCTGCAATCGGCCTGCAAGCCTCTGAGGAGGGTAGGTGGGCGGCCGTGCCCATGGCACCTACGTGAAAGAATGTCTGAGAAACTGAGGAGGGTAGATGGGCTGCTGACTCCCTTTCTAGGGACCCCAGACACACAGAAAGCCGGGGAAGAAAGAGAGGACTGAAGAGTGGCAACTTTGAGAGGGGAATTCTTAAAAAGATGCCAACCTGAAAAAATTAGGAACAACAAAAAAAGTCCAGTGAATTCTCCCCAGGTCCTATAAGCCCAAACTAGTTATTCTACATTCAGCTTATGGCACCCAGCCTTATCTAAGGCACAGGTCGTCAAACATTTTACATAGAGGACAGGAGAGTGAACATCTTAGGTTTCACAGGGCGTTCAGGCTCTGTCATGACTAAACTCTGCCATTACAGCACAAAAGCAACCAGCCCTAGTGAGTAAATATGTCTGTGTGCCAATAAAGCTTTATTTATAAAGACAAGTAGTGGGAGGCCGGTGCCGCGGCTCACTAGGCTAATCCTCCGCCTTGCGGCGCCGGCACACCGGGTTCTAGTCCCGGTCGGGGCGCCAGATTCTGTCCCGGTTGCCCCTCTTCCAGGCCAGCTCTCTGCTGTGGCCTGGGAGGGCAGTGGAGGATGGCCCAAGTACTTGGGCCCTGCACCCCATGGGAGACCAGGATAAGTACCTGGCTCCTGCCATCAGATCAGCGTGGTGCGCCGGCCGCAGCACGCCGGCCATTGGAGGGTGAACCAATGGCAAAAGGAAGACCTTTCTCTCTGTCTCTCTCTCTCACTATCCACTCTGCCTGTCCAAAACAATAAAAAAACAAAAACGAAGGCAAACAGGACAAGTAGTGGGGCACAGGCCATAGTTTACCAATCTCGATCCAGGGAAGAATGATTACTTTGCAGGTTTCCAAGCATCAGCACTTGCTCTTCTGGTGCCTGAACCTCACACCCTGACCCCACCAGCCTAGATAGAGGTTATATGGTGAACAGCCCAGAGACTGGAAGGAGCCTGCGACAATCCAATCCCTGGCCCCTCCAACTAACTCATTCCCCAAGCGCCGGAGACATCTGCCAAGGGCCTGAGCTCAGTCACTTACGGGCAGTGATGACCATCCTCTGAGACCGTTTCGCGTAGGCAGGGAGAGTGTCCACGTTGAAACCTAAGACACAGGGGAACAAACATCACCGCCCAGCCTGTGGACAGTGAACATGGGATGAGGGGGGACACTGCGGAGAAGCGGCCTAAACTCCACTCAGCCACGCTGCTGCCGCTGAAGAGAATCCACCAACGGGGAGTTAGGCGTTCTCTTAAATGCGTTCAAAACCCTCGCTAGCTAAGTCTCCCAAGCTAGAGGCAAACCAGGGGAACACAAAGGCACCCAGAATACTCAGTAGACACGCTGATCCCGAGGGACTCCTCGCTCCCGCATTACCCCACCCGCTGCCCCCAGCACTGCACACGGGAGTCGCACTTACCCATCTCCACGAGCGTGACCACAATATCCGACAGCGTGGGCTGAGTCCGGGCTGTGTGCTCACAGTAAGACTTGGCACTCCTCCCAATCTCTGAGATGTCTAAGGGGTGGGGGTCAAAGGCACAGACTTTCATCCTCAGTTCCTCAAAACCGAAACAGACTTATCTCCCACGTGAGCCGGCCACGCTACCTCTACGTGTACGCCCAAAGCTGCTGGAAGCAGGGATCCAGGAAGACACTTGTACGCCGATGTTCACAGGAACGTTATTGACAATAGTCAAAGACCTGCTGCCCACTGACAGATGAACGGATAAACAAAGTGTGGCACCTACGGACCACGGAATAGCATTCGGTCTTCGAAAGGAATGAAATGCCGGCAGGCTACGGCATGGATGAGCTTGGAAAACATTACGCTAAGTGAAACGAGGCAGATACAAAAGGACAAATGTTTAAAGATCTCATTTACATGAGGTACCTAGAAACGGCAAATCCATAAGAAACAGCAAGTAGGAGGGAGGTTCCTAGGGGCTGAGGGGTGGGAGGGGCAAAGGGGCAATGGGGAGCTGTTCTTAATGGGCGTACAATTTCTGTATGTAGGTTTCACATACAGTGAAAGTTCTGGAAGTTCTGGAAATGGATAGTGCTGACGGTTGCCCAACACCATGAATATACTAAGTCCATGGAATTGTACATTTAAAAATGGAAGGAGGGATTCATTTTGTTATGCAGAGCTTACTCCCCTCTAAAGATCTTATACTACGGGGGCCACTTTTTGTTTCTTCTGCTGAAAGCGGAACCTCTAGTTCACAGTCATGCTGAAGTCCTCCGGGGCACGGTGGAAGGTGCCTAAGACACAGCTTAGGGAGTTGGGCCGCGTGGATGGGCTTTGGAGGTGGCTGGGAAGTGCCATGAACATCCTGACTCAGGATGAATTCATTTATTTTTTTAAAGGTTTTATTTAATTATTTGAAAGGCAGAGTTACAGAGAGAGAGAGGGAAAAGAGAGAGGGAGAGAGTGAGAGAAAGAGAGGGAGAGAAATTTAACCACTGGTTCACTCCCCAGATGGGCACAATGGCCGGGGCCGGCTCATGGCCAAAGCTAGGAGCCAGGAGCTTCTTCCAGGTCTCCCACGTAGGCGAAAGGGCTGAAGCACTTGGGCCACCCTCCGCTGCTTTCCCAGGTGCATTAGTGGAGAGCTGGATCAGAAGTGGAGCAGCCAGGAATTGAACATGTACCCAAATGGGATACCAGCACTGCAGGCAGCCTACCCAGCTATGCCACAGCACTGGCCCCACAGCGCTGAATTCAATGCACAGGAAAAGTCTCTCTCTGGGGACGAGCGCACAGGTTTCATTCAGAGAAGAAATGGATCCCAAAAGATAAGGAGACCCTGTCCCAGGGACCCAGCTGCTCATAAGATAAAAGCATTAGAAGCACAAAGTCTACCTGAAACCTATCCCAACTGCTGCCGCCTGAGCCAGTCACTGACACCAGTCTCTAGACAGAACCTTCACACTCTCAATTCCAAGATCTTCTCAAGAACGGAATTCTTTTTTTGGTTGGGAATTATTAGTTCATTTTTGGGGGCCAAAGTTGTCAAAGTGCAGTCCGGAAACCCCTGGCAGTCTCCCAAATCTTTTCCAGAGTCTACAGGTCAAAATGGTTACTTTTTAAAAGATTTATTTATTTAGTTGAAAGTCAGAGTTACAGAGAGAGAGAAAGTGAGGCAGAGAGAGAGAGAGAGAGAGAGAGATCGATCTTCCATCTGCTGGTTCACTCTCCAGATGGCTGCAATGGCTGGAGCTGTGCCAATCTGAAGCCAGGAGCTTCTTCCAGGTCTCCCACATGGGTTCAGGGGCCCAAGGACTTGGGCCATCTTCTACTGCTTCCCCAGGCCAGGCAGAGAGCTGGATTGGAAGTGGAGCAGGCGGGACTTCAACCAGCGCCCATATGGAATGCTGCATTGTAGGCGGTGGTTTTACCCGCTATGCCACAGCACCAGCCCCTACAAGTCAAAATTATTTTCTTAACAAAATTAAGTCATTATTTGACTTTTTTACTGTCATTCTCTCATGTACTTTTCCAGGGTTATATGACTTCGGATGACATCACCACTCTGATGAATAACGGAATGTGTGACTGTATATCCTTACATTTTAGAATTTTATTTTCAAATCTGGCAAATATAGGCACATGCTATATATACCTAAGTATTATGCATATGTATAGCATATGTATAACATATTTTGTACACATATAAAAGCTCTTGGGGATCCTCAATATTTGAGTCTGAAAGTGGTTCTGAGACCAAGAAGTGTGAGGTCACAGGTTTAGGAAAACATCTGGTATTAGAAGTTCAAGGGGCAGGCGTGTGGCACAGTGGTTAAGATGCCAGTTGGGATGCCCACAAGCACACACTGGAGTGCCGGGGTTCCAAGTCCTGGCTCTGCTCCCAGTTTCAGCCTCCTGCCAACACACACTCTGGGAGGCGGCGAGTGAGGGCTCTGGAACTCGGCTCACTGCCACTCATGCGAAAGGCCTGGGCGGAGTCCCTGGCTCCTGGGTTCAGCCTGGCCCAGCCCTGGCAGTGGTGGGCATTTGGAGAGTGAACCAGCAGTTGAGAGATCTCTGTCTGTCTCCCTCTCTGCCTTTTAAATAAATAAATATATTTAAAAGTAATATTAAAAAAAAGTTTCTAAAATCAGCTGCAGAAAGTGGCTCCACCCAGGGTCACACCCTACTCAGGGCAGCACACATCTGGGTCTGATCGAGACCTGGGCACAAAGGCGGGGCCTTTTCTCCTTGGCAGACGACAGCCGCTCCAAGGACGCCCACCTGTTGGCCAGCTCTTTGTTGGGTCTGCACTGCACTTCAGTTCTTCTACTTCTTTTCACAGGTGCTGGTCCCTAAGAAATACTGTAGGAATCCCCCAACACCCCTTGTCCAATTCTAGCCCCTAAGAAATTTTAAACAGGCCACAACAGGCTCCTAAGGCTCAGCAATCCCTTAAAAGTTGTTTTTCAGGGCCAGAGTGCTGTGGCGTAGCGGGTAAAGCCGCTGCCTGTAGTGCCGGCGTCCCATATGCGCACCAGTTTGAGTCTCAGCTGCTCCACTTCCAATCCAGCTCTCAGTTATGATCTGGGAAAGCAGAAGATGGCCCAAGTCCCTGGGCCCCTGCACCTGCATGGGAGACCTGGAAGAAGCTCCTGGCTCCTGGCTTCGTATCAGCCCAGCTCTGGCCATTGCAGACATCTGGAGAGTGAACCAGCAGATGGAAGACCTCTCTCTCTGCCTCTGCCTCTCTGTAACTCTGCCATGCAAATAAATAAATAAATCTTTTTTTCTTAATAAAAAGTTGTTTTTCCCTATTCTAGTCAACATACCCTCATTCTATCACATAATACAGCACCTCCTTACTAATGTACTAGCATCTATTCCAGGGCGTTAGTCCTGACACTCCCCCCACCCCACGAAGGTGTGAGTCCTCCCAGAAGAGAGAGCAAAACAGCAATAATGAGGGCTCCAAGTCCTCGACAGCGTGCAGCCCCCCAGCTTTGACTGCCGTACTCACAACCCCGCGCGCCTCAATTACTACCCCACTCCACAAAGGAGGGCGTTGAGGTTCAAGAGGGTGAGCGAGCTGCTGGCGCTACGCAGTGGCAGGGGGACGATTTCCAGCCCGGGCTGCGTGGCTGGAAAGCCTGAAGTCTCTCCCCTCCGCCGCCGTCACAACGCAGGGCGCAGAAGGGACGGGGCCCGCCGCTGCCCGGTACTCACAGCTCTGCAGCATCTCCGTCAGGGTTTCCACGGACGCCTTCTCTGCGCTCTCAAACCCGGCCTCCGTCAGCAGAGAGCTCACGACCACCTGCAGGGTTCTCCTCCGGGCCAGGTGGTAGTTGTCGGCAGGGTTGGTGGACTGTTTGCTCCCCGACCTCTGGGAACCGGCAGGGAGAGCAGTGTCACCCCCGGGACAAGAGGGCAGCGCGCAGTCCCCGGATCGTTCACGGCAAGCGCGCGTCCCGTGCTAAACACCAGCGCTGCGACCTGCAAATCTTGGCCGACCGAGCGAAAACCGAGCCGGAGGGCCCCTCCCAGAGACCATCGGCATCCCCCAAACCTAAGGCGCTATAATGCAAAATGGCTGGGGTTTCCTGTTCTGTGTGTTTCTTGTTTTTCCCACACTCTCTACTCCCGCACATTATCAGCACAGCGGAAGAAACACTCGTGACGGGACTCAATTAAACCTAGCTCCCGGGAGAAAAGCAAACGGGATCTCTATCGTTCGTCATCCCACTTCCAAACCGTTTCATTAGCAAGGAGAATTAAAGCAATAACATCACACCGAGCCGAGGAGAGGGCGAAAGACCACAGCACGCCTTGGTAGGGAAGCTCAATATTTTGAAGCAGCAATCCCGCCCAGCTCTGCCTGGCCAATGAAGAGGCGAAACAGTCCTCTCTGGACCAATCAGGAGATGTTCCGGGTTCCCAACCGAGCAAACCAATCAGGACACAGGTTCACCAACTCAGGAGGCCGCCGCCAAGTCCCTCAGAGGGGTGGGCGCGCACAGCCTGAGGGGCCCTCCTCCGGTCGCAGCCCACGCTGGGGCGGGATAGCTGGGCATAAGCCTGCTGCCCAGGCCAGGGGAAAGTTGCAGAGTACCCCAACTCTCTCAGCGCCGGGCCCGCGCTTCTACCCCTTACCGTTCCGGAGCCGCCAGCCCCGGCAGCGGCCGCCGTGTCGGCCATCTTGCCCTGGCGTAACGTGCGTGAGCGCGGGGCGCGATGGGACTTGTAGTCACGGGGCGGGGTGGGCGGGGCGCGCGCACGCTCCTCCCGGTTTTCCGAAGCCTCGCTGGGTGGGGGTGCGCACGTGACCATTTGTATGCGAAGTGTGTGGGCTTGGGGCGGGGGGTGCGAAAATGCTATCTTGGTTTACGCGAATTAAAATAAGCCTGTTTTAATAGTGAATCGTTTCTGATGAGGAAGGATCCAGGAGGTAGTCTACACTGGCAGGGTTTCTCCAAACGTCTCTGGTTATTAGCCACACCTGGCTGGGCCCAGCGCGGTCCTAGTGACCCCACCGTGGGAAAGGGGCTTGGGGATTTGGTTACCAAGCTCCCTGGGTCCTCTTGGGAAACCCTGGGGCATCTGATCTCGTGATTTTGTGCGGCCGTCCGTGGACCCCTTGGGGATGGGCGTGCCTGCTCCGGGCCTGCCTCAGTCCTCAGGCGTCGCGTCCGCGTGGCCGCCGAGGGTCTTGGGGGGGGGTGTCGAAGGTCCACTCCGCGCCTGCGCCTTGGCAGGGCAAGGACGCTGGGCTTGGGTCCCAGCCCTCGGCGGCTGCGGGAGTTTGGGCACAATACCTAACCGCTCTGTGCGTCAGTCTCCTTTTCTGTGAATCTGGGGGTGGAGGGGTGCTGACGGCCGAGGGGACAACCAGGTAACGACGGCAGGGGACTGTCCCGGTGCCCGACGTGCAGCCAGTTGCCCCACTGTGTGGTGGGCTTCCTGGGTCGCGCGCGCTGGCGGGCCCCGCTAGGCGCCTGCTGGCCGTGCGCACCTGAGCCCGCCGGGGCCCCGTCCCCTACCTAGGGCGCGCGGGGCGGGGCCGGCGGGGGTCGGCACCCGGGCTGCGCGGAGCCGCGCCCCAGCCCCTTTGTCTCCCCCGCCCCCTCTTCCCCACTTCCTGCCCAGCTTCAAACTCGGGATCCGCCGACTTTGTAAACACGCCGCGGTCGCGGGGGCGGAGCCTGGGTCTGTTTGGGCGCCTGGGGACGGGGTGCGCTGCCTCGCCGCGGCTGCGGGCTGCGACCACCCCCACCCCAGCCCCCCGCCACTTCCCGAAGACCGAGGCCAGAGGCGGCGGGGGAGCGCGTGTGCGGCCACCCCGGGTGCTCCGCGGGACTCACCTGCCCACGAGGTAGGCTTGGGGGCTGGCGCAGCGGGGAGAGGCGATGTGGGCATCACCCCCTGGCCCTGGGGCTTCGCGGTTCACGCTAGATATCCTGAGCGGCCGGGGGGGGGGGGTCGCCAGAGGTTGGGTTGGGGGTCTCCGCGCCGTCAGCACCTCCCTGGCGGCCCCTCAGCCGGGCCCCTTTGCGCTCCCAGGACGCGCGCGCCGCTTCGCGTGTACTCGAAGGGCGGAGAAGCCCTTGCGCCTCTGCGCTCACCGCCGCCCCCTTAAGCGGACCTGGGAGCGAGGGCGCTTCCCTGGGCTGTTCCCGTTCTTCCTACCCCAGAGCGGGGCGCGAGAGACCGAGGCCGGGGGAGGCCACTGTTTGTCCCGCCGTCGCCTCTGATGGGTGCACAGGGGAGAGTTTGCGCGTCGGCGGTGTGTCTGAGTGTTAACCCGAGGAGTCACCGCAGAAGCCGGTGTAAGGCAGGGGGCACGGAGGGGCCGAGCGTGGGCCGTGCGCCGGCTCTGTGTGGGGTGCCGAGAGTGCGGGAGTGCGCATCCACAGCCACAGCACAGCCCGGGGACGTGCCCAGGGCGGCGCGAAGCGTCAGGGAGAAAGGGAGCTTTGAGCTGGATTCGGAAGGAAGGATGGACAGATCGCTGGGTAGGGACGTTAGTGGGAAGACTGGGGGCACTGCTCATCCCACAGAACTGGACTGCACTCCGCTGTGGGCTACGTGGTGACCCAGCAGCAACTGCTCTCTCTAACGCACTGCCCAGGTATGAAGAGGAGGTGGGGATGAATTCGAGGAAAGGCAGATGTCTGGGCTGGTTCCCAGACAGCCAATAATGTCCAGCTGGTGCAGCGCCCCCCACACCTGGGCTCCGAGCTGTTTCCTCTAGCAGGTGCTGGCCCTCCGAAACACCCGCCCTCCCCCGTCTCTGTTCCCCGTGGGAGCAGACGTCAGTGGGGAGGTGGGTCTCCATTGCTTCCCGGCAGATGCTCCGCGCTCATTCCTGGCGCAGGCACTGAGGAATCCCTGCGGCACCTGTGTGCGTGGCCGCTCTCGGTCTGCGTGCGCCCCGGGTGTTCAGGGTGTCAGGGTTCAACAGGTGGGAGCGTCCGCCCCTCTAGAAGCTGAAGTTGAAAGCACCTCTGTTTCAGTCTGTACCCAGCCCTGAGTTTCAGCCCGTCCTCCCCTGCGGCAGCGGCAGGCACTGGGGTTAGCCGTGCTCCATGGGTGAGGAACCCCGGGCCTGGGGGAGCTGAGTAGGCTTCCTAACGAGGATGCAAGAGGGAAGTGGCAGAGCTGGCACGGAAACCCGGGTCGCTGGACTTGGGAGACCCCGTTCCTAACCACTGGGCCAACCTGCCTCCTTGGCCACCTGTGGGCCAGGGCCTGGGGAGTTTTCACTGACTCTGGGTGGTCCTGTGTCTTGGGTGATTCCAAAGAGTGTGGGCAGCCATCTTCTGGGTGCTGGCACTGTTTGCAGAGAGCCCCAGCAGCCTGGAGTCGGGTTGTGAGGACTGCACAGAGCAGTGTGTGTGTGTGTGTGTGTGTGTGTGTGTGTGTGTGTGTGTGTTGTTAGCCACACCCCGGAGGGAGGGGAAATGTCAATAACCCAAGGGCAGCCAACCTAACGAGTTCAGATGCAGAAAAAGCACCCGACGTGGCAGTGATGTGCCAGGGTCTGGAGACGCGGGGAACCAAGACACCCCCGTTTTCTTTTTCATCTTGAAGAATAAGAGTGACCCTCATAGTCCAGGTTCCGGAGGGGCACTCTAGCTTGGTAGCCAAGTGGGGAGGATGGGCAGGCAGGGAGAGGCAGCAGCCTGAAGATGCTCACTCGGGTGGGCCAGGCCACGTGGCTACGGACTCCAGCTGTGGGGCTCCACCTCCTCGCAGAAGTGAAGTTTCTCCCAGGGCCCTCTGCACTGGCCAGGGGAGGCCCTAAGGCTGGGTGTGGGGTGGCTGTTGGTGCAGGTGGCTCAGGTAGAGCGTGGTCCCTGGAGATGCCAGGGTGGGAATTGTGGCTCTCTGCAGACCCCCCCTCTGCCATGCACACACTTCCCTCCCTTGCTGGCTGGGGGCAGGGTGGGGGCAGAGCCCTTGGCACACCCCCTCCCTCCCCCAGGCACCGGCTGAGCGGTGGAGGACAGGTTGTACTATTGAGAAACCGCAAGAGGAAGTTTAGAGAGGGCCGGGGTGGGGAAAGTGGTGGGCCCCTGCCAAGTTTCCCTTTTCCTGCCCAGCCTTGGCTGTGTTTATCTTGCCCACAGAGACATTTAAATTTTAAATCCTGAGTTAACCCATTGCCTGCAACCCATGTGGGCACTAGTTCACTTGTCCCCGGCTGCTCCACTTCCAGTCCAGCTCCCTGCGAATACACCTGGGCAAACAGCGGAAAACAGCATGAGTCCTTGGACCACTGCCACCCATGTGGGAGACCTGGATGGAGCCCCTGGCCCCTGGTGTGGCCTGGCCCCCAGCCAGCTGTTGCAGCATTTGGGGAGTGGACTGGTGGATGGAAGATATTCTCCCTCCCTCACTCCCTCTCTGTAACTCTGCCTTTCAAATAGGTAAATCTTTAAAAAAATTTGTCTTGGGTAAATCTGTGTTTCAGAGAGTGCCGAGGCCTGCCCCTGGGTGGGGCTGGGACAAGTCCTCCTTTGCTGGATTTCACCTGGCATTGCAGGAAGTCTCCTCTGCCCCTCTCTGCCCCTCACCTCTGGCTCCCCCAGAGCTCTCCCTGCAGCCTTTAAACCCCGGAGTAATGGTCACTTAGGAGCGGAATGGGGCATATTATCTCATTTAACAGTCTCCATAGCTCCAGGCAGTAAATACCTCTATCCCCAGGTTACAGACTGAAAGGCTGAGGGACTTACCCAAAGCCCCATAGCTGGTAAGCAGGCGTGCAGAATTTGAGTCCATCTGACTTCAAAGTCTGGGTTCCTTTAAACTAGTCCTCCACCAGTCAGAGCAGCAACTTCTCCAGACAGTAAGGAGGTTGAGATCTAAAAATGTTTATTATTATTTTTTATTTATTTATTTGACAGGTAGAGTTACAGACAGTGAGAGAGAGAGACAGAGAGAAAGATCTTCCCTCCATTGGTTCACCCCCAACAAATGGCCTCATCAGCCAGAGTTATGCCGATCCGAAGCCAGGAGCCAGGTGCTTCCTCCTGGTCTCCCATGCGGGTGCAGGGCCCAAGGACCTGGGCCATCTTCCACTGCCTTCCCGGGCCACAGCAGAGAGCTGGACTGGAAGAGGAGCAACCAGGACTAGAACCAGTGCCCATATGGGATGCTGGCGCCACAGGCAAAGGATTAGCCTAGTGCGCCATGGTGCCAGGCCCTTATTATTTTTTTAAGAGATGTATTGGGCCGGCACCGTGGCTCAATAGGCTAATCCTCTGCCTTGCGGCGCTGGCACACCGGGTTCTAGTCACGGTCAGGGCACCGGATTCTGTCCCAGTTGCCCCTCTTCCAGGCCAGCTCTCTGCTATGGCCCAGGAAGGCAGTGGAGGATGGCCCAAGTGCTTGGACCCTGCACCCACATGGGAGACCAGGAGAAGCACCTGGCTCCTGCCTTTGGATCAGCACAATGCGCCGGCCGCGGTGGCCATTGGAGGGTGAACCAACAGCAAAAGGAAGACCTTTCTCTCTGTCTCTCTCTCACTGTCTAATTCTGCCTGTCCAAAAAAAAAAAAAAAAAAAAAGAGAGAGAGAGAAATGTATTGGTTTATTTAAAAGGCAGAATTAGAGAGAGACAGACAGAGAGTGATCTTCCATCTGCTGGTTCACTCTCCAAATGGTTACAGCAACTCCATCCTCAGCTACCACAGGGGTTCAGGGGTCCAGCCACTTTCCCAGGTACATTAGCTGGGAGCTGGATCGGAAGTGAGTAGCCAGGACTTGAACCCTGGGCCCAC